GGATCAGGGAATGGGACCCATGACCAGAGAGTTAAGATTGGGACCAGGAATGGGATTGATGATCAGAAAAGGAACTGAGCACCGAGGTCTGGGACCAGGGAATGGGACCTGAAGATCAGGAACACAAAGGAAGAAACTGGAGGTCTTAAAGACCAGGTGCCTGGGGGACCCAAAGACTAGACTGGGGCCCTGGGGTATCAAAAGATTATGGGCCCGACGGAACCCCAAAGACCAGGGACCCAGGATACCCCAAAAACTGGGAACTGGGGACCCGAAAGACTGGGGGAACCAAATAGCAGAGACCCAGAGGGGACCCCAAAGATCAGGATCAGGGGAACCCTGAAGACTGAGGACCCCAAAGACCAGGGACCCAGCAGGCACCTCAAAGACTGAGGACTCCAAAGACCAGGGACCCAGTAGACTCCAAAGATTGGGACGAGGGGGACCCCAAAGACTGGGGATACCAAAGACCAAGGACCTGGGGGACTCCAAAGAGTGGGACTGGGGGCACCCCAAAGGCTGAGGACCCCAAAGACTGGAACTAGGGAGACCCAGAGGACCCCAAAGACCAAAAAACTCTGAGGATCCAAAAGACTGAGGGCCCCAAAGGCTGGGATCCCAGGGGGATCTGAAAGACTGGGGACCCCATGGATGGGAGACCTGGGAGACCCCAAAGACAGGGGACCCCAAAGACCAGGACTCAGGAGTGTGGCAAAAAGTTCAGACCCCAAACACTGGGGACCCAGGGGGACCCCAAAGACCAGAGACCCCAAGGATGGGAGATCTGGGAGACCCCAAAGACTGGGGACCCCAAAGACTACGGACACAAGAGACCCCAAAGACCGGGGACAGGATCAGAGACAAAAAACTCAGATCCAAGGCAGGACCGGGACTGAAGACCCAAGACCGAGACCAGGACCAGGACCGAATTCTGGAACGAGGAACCGAAATCCGGGAACCCAAGACCCGGACCGAGCACAGCGATCTGAGACCGGAACCCGAAACAAAGACCGAAAATCGGGACCGAGCGAGCCGGACTCAAGAGCGGGACGGAGATTCCAAACCGGCACCAAAAACACGACAACCGAAACCCACAAACAGCCCCAAACGACCCCCACTCACCCGCTCCGGAGCGGCGGCGGCCGCGGGTTCGGGGCCGCAGGTGCCGTCCGGGGGGCGGGGCGGGGGGCGGGGATGCAGCCGGTACCTGCCTCGCCCCGGGGCTCAGGTGAGCACCGCCAGGTCCTAACGCCGTCCTCAGCAACGGAGGAACGGGGATCGTAAGGGATCCAAAGGCTGGTGGTGGGAGTCCGGAGGTTGGTGGGGGTTTATAGGGGATATAATGGGGGATGGGCTCGAGGTGAGGCGCTGGGGGAGTGCGGGGGGTTGGGGAGAGGCTGGGATGCTGCGGGGTGGTAGGGATTTGGGTGGGTTGACATCAGGGTGCTGGGAGTGGCTGCTGACCTCTAAGGGAGTGATATGGGAGGTGTGGGGAATGAAGGGGACGTGAAGGGGACAACACGGGGTTTTGCACTTGGGATGGAGTAATCCCAGATACAGAATCACAGAGTCACAGGACGGTTGGGTTGGGAGGGAGCTCAAGGATCACGGAGCTCCAACCCCCCAGTGCCATGCAGGGCCACCAACCTCCCCATCTCACAGCAGCCCAGGCTGCCCAGGGCCCCATCCAGCCTGGCCTCCAACCCCTCCAGGGATGGACGGGGCATCGCAGCCTCTCTGGGCAGCTGTTCAGCCCCTCACCGCTCTCACAGCACACAACTTCCCTGACACCCAACCTCCATCTGCCCTCCCTCAACTTCATTTCCCCTCGTCCTGCTGCCATCTCCCCTTGCACAGAGCTGCCTCCCCTCCTGGCTGCAGGCTCCCTTCAGGCACTGCAGGCTGCACTCAGCTCACCCCCAGCTTCTCTTCTCCATGCTGAACGAGCCCAGCTCCCTCAGCCTGGCTTTGCAGGGCGGTGCTGCAGCCCCTGCTCATCTCCAGCTCCTCTGGACCCTCTCCAGCAGCTCCCTGCCTTTCCTGTCCTGGGGGCTCCAGCCCTGGATGCTGTGCTGCAGATGGGGCCTCACAAGAGCAGAGCAGAGGGGGACGATCACCTCCCTGTCCCTGATATACGTAGAGACTCCCTGCAGAGAAGGACCGGGGGTCCTGGTTGGTAAAAGACTGAACATGAGGCAGCAGGTTGCTCTTGCAGCTCAGAAGGGCAGTGATCCCTCAGAATGGGATCCTATGCTCCATCAGCAGGGGGGTGGCAGTGGGACAGGGAGGGGATCATCCCCCACTACTTTGCCCTCTTGAGACCCCATCTGCAGCGCTGCATCCAGGTCTGGAGGCCCCAGTAAAAGAAAGAGAGCTGTTGGAGAGGGTCCAGAGGATGAGGAGAGGACCATGAAGATGCTCAGAGGGTTGGAGCACCTCCCCTATAAAGACAGACTAAGGGATCTGGGCTTGTTCAGCCTGGGGACGAGAAGGCTGCAAGGGAACCCCATTGCAACCTTCCAGTATTTAAAAGGGGATGATAAAAAGGAAGGGGATTGATGTTTCACAAGGGTAGACAGCGATAGGACAAGGGGGAATGGTTTTAAGCTCAAGGAGGGAGGGGTTAGATTGGATGTTGGGGAGAAGTTCTTTACTATGAGAGAGGTGAGGTGCTGGAACAGCTGCTCATAGAGGTTGCAGATGCTCCATCCATGGAGATGTTTGAGACCAGGTTGGATGGGGCCCTGGACAACCTGGGCTGGTGTCAGATCTGGAGGGTGCTGGCCCTGCCTGTGGCTGGGGGGTTGGAACAGGATGGTCTTTGGGGTCCCTTCCAACCCAAGCCATTCTGTGATTCTTTGAATAGGACCCATAGTGACCTTACAGCCGTGTGCTGGGAATGAGAGGCCGGTGGAGGTCATTGAGTCCTATAGAGGCCATAGGGCCTATCATAGCCTGGCACCAGTGTGCTGGGAATTACCAGCCTGGAGAGGCCATAGGGGCCTGGAGAGGTCATAGGTGCCTATAGAGGCCACAGAGACCTATAGAGGCCATAGGGGAGTGATAGAGACCTATAGAGGCCATAAGGACCTATAGATACCATAGGGACTTACAGAGGTCGTATGAGCCTGGAGAGGTCATAGGGGACTGATAGAGACCTATAGAGTCCATAGGGACCTATAGAGGTCAGTAGGGGCCTGGAGAGTCCATAGATGCCTATAGAGTCCATAGGGGCCTATAGATGCTAAAGGGACCTATTGATGCCATAGGGACCTATAGATAGGGGCCTGGAGAGGCCATAGATGCCTATAGAGTCCATAGGGGCCTATAGATGCTAAAGGGACCTATTGATGCCATAGGGACCTATAGATAGGGGCCTGGAGAGGCCATAGGTGCCTATAGAGGCCATAGGGGACTGATAGAGACTTATAGAGGCCATAGGGACCTATAGGTGCTTGTATGGGCCATAGGGGCCAATGTGGGGTGCTGAGACCCAGCGAAGCTCTGAGCCCAGGTGTGCCCTCCCTACTCGTGCTCAGTCCTCGTCCTACCTCATATCTGTTATTATTCTCACTGTTAATTACTCTGGCTCTCCAAAGCCTCCCTCACCCGTAGCTCAGTGGTTGCACTGTGCAGCAATGTGAACTCTAAGGTCATTTTTATCAGGCTGTGATAACTGCTGGCAACGTTTCTTTGGGTGGCTGGACACGCAGACCGTCGAGGCTGGGATTTGCTAATTGCTCCCATCTCTGTCATCCTTATTCAGCCTTCCCGCTGAACTCCTGATGGCGTCACTTTGCTGCTCTCCAGCTGTGCTGCTACAGGGCTGCTTGTCCCTGCAGCTTGGGATGGAGCACAGCCCCAGCTCTGAGCACCCCATGTCCTTATCCTCCAGCCCCACGTTTAACACTAGGTGGTGGTATCACCATGAAGATTCCAGCTGAGGGCGGGTGGCTGCTATGGCAGGGAAAGTCTCTGCTGTACTGAGGACTCCACGTTAAAGCTGAATTGGCTTTTAGGTCCCTTCCAACCAGAGCCCTTCAGTGGTCCTGTGATCTTTAAGGACTCCTTCCAACCTGAGCCCTTCAATGGTTCTATAATCTTTAAGGACTCTTCCAACCCTAAGCCATGCTGTGATTCTATGATTCTGTGGTAGAGATGGTGTGAAAGAATTGTTTGTAGCCCCTCTGGAGGATGTGGTTTGAACAAGATGGCAGGTGTAGGCACAGGCAACCCCATCAGCAATGGATTCCGAAGATGGAATGGAAGAAAATCATAGAATCACAGAACTGAAAGCGTCCCCTAAGACCCTCCAGCCCAACTCCAACCCATCCCACCACGCTCACTGGCCACGTTCCCAAGTGCCACCCCCACAGCCCACCACCTCCCTGGGCAGCCTGTGCCAATGCTTGGCTGCTTTTTCAGACAAAGCAGAGGATGAGAACCTCCCGAGTCTTCTGTGCATCCCAGCAGTGGTTGAGATGCACAGAAGGGCAGAGGGGCGCGAGGGAAATGCCAGTGGGGAAACCCCAGGGGCCTCTCCAGGCTCCTGAAGGCAGGAGGCACGAATGCTGGGAGGGTTTTAATCTCCTGCTGAGCATTTTGTGTTGGCTCCCATGCTGTATGGAGGATTTGAGGGATTTGAGCTGGGGTGGAGTGAGAATTACTTTGGATTATTGGGATGTGAGGTTGAATATTAGCTGCCTTACGGAGGATAAGTCGAGCAGGGCTTTGAGGCAGATGTGCAAATCCCCAACACATTAAAGCACCAACACGTTCCTTGAGAAGGGCAGGGGGAAACCGAGGCACAGAACAGACGACGGCTTACCTGGCACGGAGCAGAGGAGAGCCCAAACTCACCGCCGTCGGCCTTCAGCATCGCCTCCCGGATTCTTGAGAGCTAATTTTAAAGCCCTGGGTTTGCTGCCTGTAATTCACTGCTGCTATATTTCCTGTCTCTCTGCCGCGCTGAGGTTTCGCTCTGAGCACTGAAAAACTGAAGGGAAATTCCCTGCCCCGGATTTTTCTGTTAGAGAAACTTTTTCAGTTGCGCCCAGAGGCCGATTCTGAGCTGTGGCCACCAGGATTGGGGCAGGAGAGCCCCCCACCACTGTAAGTGCGCTCCCCAAATTGCAGCCCCGGGGCTTCACGGGGTCCCCGTTGGGTTATATGGAGAGGTGTGGGGTGGGGGTCGGGATTTTTGCTGTGTTAAAGCAACCCCATTCCCCAGCACCGGGGGAGAACGTGGGTCGTGCCCCTCTGAGCCCTGATCATCTGCGTCCCCAGTTGCTTCTTTAATTGCAATTTGGGAAATGCTTCTCCGGGTTACACAGGAGGTTAAGATCTCCCGTCCCCTTAATGACAAAGTGGTAATTTGGGGGGGAAATTAAGACGTGGTTAACTACTGAGAAGCCAGCAGGGCTCGTTCAAAATCAATATGGGCTTGTTGGGAATGGCAGCTCCGAGTCACACACGTCTTAATAATTAATTGGCGCGGTTATATATAACTCCTAGACAAAATATATCCTCTTAATCTTTAATTAGTTAGCTGCTTTGCAGGTTTTGTGCGCTTGGTTTTCAAGAACCAGTGGGGGCCCAAAGAGCTGAGAGCGCGACGCAGCTCCCATCACAGCTCGTTTTGGGCTGAGGAGCACAGGGAGCCCCGTGCTGAAGGCGACCTTGCCGCGGTGTCTGCAGTTCTCTTGGTGCTGGGAGCGTTCCCTTCAGCTCCGCTGGGATTTTTGCCCTTCATCCCTCTTGGGTTCCCACGTTGCTCTGGGTGGTGGAGGAGTTATCCCCAAAGCCATCAGCTGAGCCCCTAATTACAGCGCCGGGGCTTAAATTCGCAGCGCTGAGCGGTGGCGAAGCTGGAAAATATGACAGGAAGCAAAGCTGATTTGCATGTTTATGCTAATTGCTATTGCACAAATCTTTCAAATCAAAGCGTGCGTTGCAGATGGCTTGCAGATTTACACCACGCTTTGGCTTTATTTATTATCTTTCAGACTGGTAATAATTGGTGCAATATGGTAAAACTGGAAAGCCTAATGCACAATACAGCTGTTAAAGCGAGGAGAAATGCGCTGAACACAGCGTGGAGAGGTTATTTTTCGTGGTGACAATATTTGGCTAAAGCAAACCTTGTGGGCACGAGCTGGATTTTCGTGTGGGGTGTTTTCAGGAGCAGAATGGGCAGCTCAGGGCTGAGTGACTGAAGAAATGGGAGTTGTGCCCCCATGCTTGGACCTCTTTCCCCTTTGGGGTTCATTGCCAGGAGTTTGTTTGCTCTCACACCGCTGCAAACAAACAAACAAAAAAAAAGAAGTTATTTCTCCAAATCATGGAATCACAGCTTATCTGGGGCTGGAAGGGCTCTTAAAGATCACAGAACCATAGAATGGTTGGGTCGGAAGGGACCTTAAAGATCACAGAACCATGAGATGGTTGTACTGGGAGAGAACTTACAGATCTCAGAACCTTGAGATAATTGGGTTGGAAGGTCCTTCAAGATCATAGAACCGTAGGATTGTTGCTTTGGAAGGGTGCTCACAGCCCCCAGCCCTCTCCCTGCTCCGGACATGTCCAATCCCTCCATCAGAAGGCCTTGAACTTTTCTCCACTGTGGGCTGAGAGATGCAGAAGTCCAGCTCAGCAGTTGGGTTATCCCCTGCTTTGGACAGCATCACTTCCCTTTTCAGCTTTTTTTTCTTTTAAATTGCAAGAAAACTGCAACCACGACTTCTTTCCATCACAGTGAAACACCGACATCTCCAGAGATCCTGCAGCAGGACGGAGCTCCGTGCTCCCCATCGCCACGTCCCCTCCTTGCTGCCTTGCTTCCTCCCTGACCAGGTGTGATGGAAATGGGTGAAGTTTTCCTCCAGCTGTGCCAGGAGGTGGCCAGGCTGCGGGAGCTGTGCTCCAGGCAGAGCGAGCTGCTGCAGAAACTGAGCGCCAGGAAGGGCCCCGCTGTGGGTGAGCAGTGGGGCTGGGGACGGGGGGAGGTCGTGCTGAATTGCTCCTTCACTGCAAAGAGCAGATACAGGCTGATGGGAGGGGATTTCAGCCTTTAACCTCATGCTGCTGAGAGGTTTGCTGCCAAATAGGGTGTAATGAGGAAGCTGGCTGCAGGCACAGCTCCCTGTGCTGGCTGTCATGGTGTTTGGGCTTTTCCTTTGCCATCTAATGCATGGCCACGTGTGTGGGTCTGCTGAGAGCCGCGCTAAGCCACCCCAGGCTGCGATTTACTCTGGGAAAAGCAGGGAGGAGCTGTGCCAGATGGTGCTGATGGCCTGGAGACTTTTTGGGAAGCAGGCATGGCGGTGGTGCGGCCTCCAAGGGCTGCACATTGCCTATGCAAAATGCTCTCGCCCACCCCAGCAGCCTGCATGGTTATCCAAGCCATGGCCCTCCTATTCCCCACCATGCTCTGCTCCCCTCCAGCACTCCAAGTAATGAATCCTGCAGGGTCCTGCAAGCTTTTTCCCAACCTTTTCCCAAGCTTTCAGCCCTGTGATCGCCTCATTTCCCCCACAATGAAGGGGGTGAGCCTGCAGCATGGCCCTCTGCACGTCCTCTGCATGGGGCTGGAACGCAGATAAACATCTCCAAGCAGCACGCGGACCAACGCCATCACGTGAGGACGCAGAGATATCTCATCATCTCCCCTGGTGGGGCAGCTGATGCTCTTCCTCCAGCTCTCAGCCTTCTCTATCTCTCTCCATCTGCCGCTTCATGCTGGCCCAGCCTCGTATTTCTTGCCATCCCTTTTCTGTGGGGGCAGCGAGCTTTGCTTGCCACAAAGGAGATAACACTGGGCTGTTTCACTGTAGCACAGACAGAGAATGAAGCAACAGGAAGGGAAAAAAATGTAGATGGGATGCAGCCCAAACTCACGCAGCCCTTGGTGCAATGTCTTTTGGTTCCAAAGGACCTCTCTGGTACGAGATGGGGGTTGTTAGGATGGGTGAGTTTTGTGAGTGCTGGATGAGTTGGCACCAAAAGGCAGAAAAGGAAATTGTCTCAGTTTGGATGCTAATTTAGTTATTTGTGGTGGGGGTAGAAAAATTAGTCAGCTTGCTGTAATGTGTCGCTATATTTAACGATCTTTTTAGGCTGCTTTCCCTTAATTGTGTATCTTGTGGTCATCGCTGGAAGGAAGAGGCTCCCAGTGATAGGATGAGAGGTGATGGCCTCCCATTGCACCAAGGGGGTCAGGTTGGGTGTTAGGAACAGTTTCTCCTCTGGGAAAGTGGTGATGCATTGGCACGGGCTGCCCAGCCAGGTGCTGGGCCAGCATCCCTGGGGGGTGTTCAAGAAACTGCAGAGATGTGGCACCTGGGGACGTGGGGTGGATTGGGGTTGGACTGGATGGTCTGGGACGTCTTAGTGATTCCCTATGAAAGCACAGAGCCCCAAGACTGACCTCTCTGGCTTGCTTTCTTTCCAAGACATCCCCATGTCTCTGCCCATCCAGTGCACAGAGGACGCTTGGACAGAGGGAGGGGAGCAGCCAGCAGCCAGCCCCCAGGTGCACCCCAAGGCCCCGCAGGGCTCTGCCCACCCTCTGGCCCCACCAAATGCTGCCCACACACTGCCTGGTGCCAGTGGTTGGTACCCAGCTTGCAGTGACCTCGGGGCTGGGAGAGCCACCCTCCCAGGGGCTTTTGGCAGCAGCCAGGCGGGGAGAAAGGAGAAGATGCTGGTAGACACATGGCTGGAGGACTGTAGGATGACTCCTACCACCAACAGCCCTGAGGAAGGAGCAAGAGCTTGCTGCAGCCCACAGGAATTTGTGACACCGAGCAGCGAGGCTGAGCACTCCTTTCTGACTATCCTGGACCTCTATGAAGCTCCAGAAGCTCTTGGGAGGGAGGATGCTCCCAGCAACAGCGCTTTGTCTGCTGCAGAAAAGGTGCCAGTGGAAATCCGGGGACCTCTGAAGGTAAACATGAAGGGGTCAGAGGTTTCTGACTGCTCTTCCCGGTGTGAGGGCACCTGTCCATCTCATCATCATCCTCTCCTTCACCCTTCCTGTAAGGTGGGGAGCTGTGGTTGTGGTTATGCCCTGAAACTGATTTCAAGTGGAGTCAGGTCCATGAAAACTCCATTCCAGCACCTGGTGTGCTTTGGGAGAAACCCAGTGACCTTTCCCAGCTGAGGGATCCTTGAGGCAGCCTGTATCGACCTCTGTTGGATCTGCAAATTAAATAAGCTCTGAATTATTTCCTTCAGTCTCTCTGATTCATACGCTCCCAAACACAGATTCCAAAATACATCCTGAGATGCATCCCCTCATTCTTGCTCAGCCTTCAGTGTGTGTTATGTGTGGGGCACCAACACTGGGCTGGCCACTGAGGGTCTCTGAAATGCCAAACTATTTTCCTTTAATTTCTTTTCCTAAATGAGACCCTTAGAAATTATTTCGTGGCTGCTGTGGTGACCCATCCGTGGGGAAAGCTATTGATTTTTGGCCTGGGTTATATTTAGAAGCTGTTTTCTTCTTAAGAAAGAGGAGAAGAAAGAAAGAAGTAGAAGCACTGTCTGTCTGCTGAAGTCCTAATGTGCCTTATCAGCACTCCGATGATAATGGCACAGGAGGAAATAAATGCTGCCCCCCATTTGGCTCCGCACAAAAGCACTTTTCTCACGCTCTGCCCCGGGGGAAACAACAGGCGATGGGGAGACCCTTCCGGGATCCTGCAGTGGATGCGGGGGGTCTGGGCGCTGCTGAGGGCTCGAGGAGAGGCTGTGTCTGCGTTCCCACTGATCTCTTTCCCCTTTGCTCCCTACAGACCTCCTGGACGCCGGGATGGATGCTGGAGGACGCCGCGCTTGGACCCGGCGCAGCTGCGGCTGCTCAGATGTGTGACATTTGCCAGGCGACCTTCCCTGCGGACACCGCAGCTCAGGCTGACTATTTAAAGCACGTCTTAACCCACATGAAGTAGGGCTTTAGGACTTTGTGCTCAGAAAGCCACGGGTGTGCAGCTGTGAGCGGCACAACGGGCTCCGGACCTGCGTGAGATGCGGCTGCTGGGGCAGCTCAGGCTGCAGTTCCGTTCTGTGCCACCCGGATCGGTTCCTGCTGTGCTGCCTGGGGGCTCAGCGGGGGTTCTGGGTGTGTTTCGGCTCACTGAGCTTCATGGGTATCAAAACTGCTTCTGTGCTGAGCTCCAGATGCGTGTAGGAGGTTTGGGGAGCTGCAGCTTAATGGGAAGTGGACGTTTTTTTCCAAAGTTCTCTGTAACTGGAAAATGTTGAATTTTTTACTTTTTTATTTTCCTTGAATAGAGACATTTGAAAGCTGCATTGTTGCTTTTTCCAAGAACACAGGAGGGGGGATCACCATGTTTTCATGGCACTAAATCTGAACTCGCTTTTGGAGAGGGTGCCAGCACCGCATGCACGATGCCACCCACCCTGCAGCAATGCAAAGCTCCCATCCCTATGAGGGGCACAACTGAGACCCCTCCTCATTAAAACCCCATCAGCTCTGGCTCGTTAGCTCCTGGGAGTTTAATTGCTATCCAGGTGGGAGGAGGCTGCTCGAAGCCCATGGATGTGGGGTGGGCTGATGGGTGTAGGGAACAGCAGAACAGGAAGGAGTTCCTGCCGTGCAGCAGCCAGGTGGGCACATGGTGTTATTCTGCCATATCCCTTCTATCTGGAGAGCCATCTGCAAACCCAGAATGAAGATTGCACTCTTCCATTAACAGCACACGTGATGCTGCTATTCTATAATGCTTTCTCTCAATACGCACCCATGCGCTTTGTGGAGGAATTCACCTGCAGAGCTGAGGAAACAGCACGGCAAAACGCCGATTAGCTCCAAATCATTGTGTTTTGTTCTTTTCCTTTCCTTTGGAAAAGCCTTATCTCAGACCTTCACGCTTAACAAGTAGCTCTGAAACGGATCTGGCATCGCATCTCTGAGGCAACTTGCGTTTAAATCAACGTCCGACGTCTCTGCTTCCATGGATCAAGATTAATTCCCGTCTCCAGCTCCAGAATCTCATCTTTAGCAGCACAGATAACAGCAATGACTCGAGGCTCTTCCCAGAAGCGTAGCTGCATGATGAAGCAGTGCAGCTGATGATGAACATCTGTGTGTCCCGAGGGCAGGGACTGACTTGCATGGGGCAGCACCGGGTCCTGGCAGTTTGGCATTTGCAGATTTGGGGTTTGCGGTCTGGGAACCATTTTCCAGGATGGAGCCCTCAGCTCTCTTAGAGCTGCATCTCTGGGCTCAGTTCCTTCCATGCAGATTCTGGAGCTGCTCCTCACCCTGAGCATGGACAAGACCTTGACTTGGTTGGGGTTTCTTACAGTGCAGCCTTCCCATTGGCAACTCCAACAGCTCCAAGCTGCTTCCTGTGGCTCCCTGATTTAATTAGGCAGTGGCATAATTCTATGGTGTTTTCTGCTCTTCTATAGGGCCTGGAAGAAAATATCAGTTTGCAGCTTGCAGAGTTACTAGAAGCACCAGCTCTGGCGGCGCTCTGCATCAAGAAGGGCCATAAATTCATTTGGCATGATATTGTAACAGCCATCCAGAATTTGCCAGAAGGAAGAAAACCAACCCAGTTCCTCCTGCTCTGAGAGCAAGTCCAATAAATTTAATTTAAGAACTGTGAGCACAGATGGCTTTTCTCAAGAGTCAAAGCAGTCGTGGCAGAGGGCCGACTTCTGTGAGATGCGTTTTGTGATGAGATGCAGGTGTGTTTGCATGGCACAGTTCAAATTAACAGGAATAGTGTGAGTGTAGAGCCCTACACCCAAAGAGGGACGACTGCATGCACCGGTGCAGGTCAAGGGCTGAGCTGCTGGAAGGGAGCTCCGTGGAGAAGGACCTGTGGGTCCTGGTGGCTGACAGGGTGATTGTGAGCCAGCAGTGTGCCCTGGTGGCCAAGAAGGCCAGTGGTATTCTGGTTGACCAACAGCTGACCAGCAATTGACCAACCATTGACTATGGGCCAGCAGTGTGCCTTGGTGGTGGAGAAGGCCAGTGGTAGATGAGTGGTTGACCAGCAGTGGACAAATGGTTGACCAACAGTTGACCAAAGATGGACCTCAAGCCAACAGTGTTCCCTGGAGGCCAGGAAGGCACACTGTTGGCTGCACAGAGCATGGCCAGCAGGGCAGGGAGGTGCTCCTCCCCTCTGCTCTGCACTGGAGAGGTTTTGGGATTGTGTGACAAATCACTCTGGGCTCGTTTAGGGTCACCCAGACCTCGAGTTTTGGTGTGATGCTCTGCCTGTGCTCCTTTCCTGGTGACTCAGGCTGGGGCTGAGCTATAGAGGTTCTGCCACCATCTAACTTCACTGCATGAACTTTCTCAACGTGCTTCGTTGTATTTTTAGATGTTGAGTTGTACAGTGCAATTAGTCACCCCCCTCCCAGCCAGATGGTCCACGGTGACACAGGAGTTGCTTTTTTTAATCCCACACTTTCCATTGGTGTGAGCATGCTGCTGCTTCCCAAATAACCTTAAGTATAGGGTGTTTGTTTTAGCTGCAGGGTGGGCGGTGTTATTGTTTTCCCCAGGTCTGCTCACCGGGTCTGCAGTGTTGTCATTTCTGGAAAGGAATGGCAGATTGGTGGCAGTTTCCAGTAAGGAGAAATTGGAAAAATCAAGGCTGGATTGGAAAATCAAGCAGAATTACGCCTGTTTTATTTCTTGCTGCTGGGTGCAATGCCTTGGGTTGGGGGTCAGCGCGTCCTCCTGTGGCTCTTGGTTTCAAAGCAGGGCTGGGTGAAGGCGATGCCACCATTTCCCAATGGAAACCAAACTTTGAAACTGCAGCTGGAAAACAGATCAGGGTGGGAAACGTCCAGTGGTTGGGTTTTCTAATGAAGAATACTGGGCTGTGGGGAGGGAAAAGGGGACACGGGCGTCCTGGCCAAGCGCAATCATCCACACGCTCCACTATCAGAAACATTACGACCACATTTTTACAGGACCCAAAAGCAATCAGGATCCCACCGGACACAGGAGGGGGAATGCAATACCTCTAATGGGGAATGTGGTGAAATATTTACATTTCCTCCATCAGCAGCAATATTTCTTGAAGGAAGGAAGCTGCACTTGTGCCCAATCCCCCCCCAGCTGCTCCCCATCCCCAGGAGAAGGGGTTCACCACCCCACAACCCACAGCAGGAACACACCTGCGCTTCCAGAGAGGGTAGGAAACTGCTACTGTCTCTGTTAATTAATAACTGATCCTCTGTTTACATCTCCCATTAATAGAAGAGAAATGTTTTCCTTATCCCAGACACGAGCTCAAGGAGTCTGAAGCTGGGACACGGAACAAAGGGCGTTTCCAATCACATAATAACATCAGAGCATTACCACCAGCAGAGTGTTACTGTGAGGGCTGAGAGCCGTGTCTTGGGCAGGGGATTTGGGAAGGGGCTTTTGACTTTAGGATTTGCCACTGAAAATAAAGCAGGGAGCAGCAAAAGGGAGTAACAGTGCAGTCCCTGCAGCAGGGTGAGCCTTGGGTGTGATTGCAGGATCTTTTAGGGTTTGGATTCCCTTGAAAACACTGCGTTTGGGGGTCGTGGAGGATGTCAAGCTCCCAAAACATTTGGGGAAAAGCAGTTTTTAAGGTTTTTGCCAACACTTCTGAAAAATGCCCATCAGAGGGGGAAGTGTCTGCCAGCCCCCTGTGCTTCTGACCACTTTCTGCTGGGGAAATGGGGCCTCCAGGGGGGACTGGTCCTGTCCCTGGGGGATGAAGGGAGTGTTGGGGGTGGCAAGTTGAGGGGAGGATGCTGAAAGAGGCCAGGAAGGGGCAGGGAGCTGGGCATGAGGATGGAGGGCCAACAGAAGGTGAGGATGGAAGGGGGGAGGGGGATGCTTGGAGGGAGCCTGGGGGTGATTCTGAGGGGAGCTTGGGGGATGCTGGAGGGGGAGCAGAGTGATACTGGAAAGGGAATTGTGCTGGAGGGGATTCAGGGGGTGATGCTGTGGGAACGATGCTGGAGGTGGGGTGATGCTGGAGATGGGGGTGATGTTGGAGGGGAATTGGAGGTGATGTTAGAAAGGTGCTGATGCTGAGGTGAAATTGAGGCGATGCTGGAGGTGGGGGTGATGCTACAGAGGGGGTGATGTTGGGGGGGAATTGTGGGGTGATGCAGGAGAGGAGGTGGTGCTGAGGAGGAATTGAGGGTGATGCTGCGCAGGGCAGAATTGGGGGATGATGCTGGAGAGGAGGTTGATGCTGAGGGTGGTGATGGTGTGGGGCTGAAGCTGGAGGGAGCAGGGGGGGGGTGCTGTCTGAGTGCTGTGGGGCTGCTGCAGAAGGGGTGGGGGACAGGAAAGGAATTGCTGGGGGCACAGAGACATGGGGGTGATGATGATGGGGGCCTCGAGGGGCGATGCCGGGGAGCGTAGGGGCCGTGCCGAAGGGGATCTATGCGGGGGGAAGAAGGGAGGCTGTCAGCTGCCCCCCCAGTGTCCCCCCGATGCTCCCCCAACGGGCTCTGCCTCCTTCCCCCGCCCCCTCCCGGCCCTGGGCGGGGTCTGTTCCCGCTCCGGAGATGGTGGAGCCGATGTGAGCGGATCGGGGTGCAGAGCGGCTGCGGCCCCCCCTGGCCCCGAGCCCCGGGGGGAGCCCGGCCCCCCCCCCCAGCCCAGCTATGCCCGCGGGCAGCACCGAGCCCGATGGCATCCTCAGCTATCAGGTGGGGGTGCATGGGGGGGGGGGGTACCCGGTGCGGCCGGAGGATGCTCTGTGGCTGCTCACTGCGGCATTTCCAGCGGCGGAGGGAGGGGGGGGGGGGAGAGGATGCAGGATGGGGGGCATGCAAGGCGTCTGCTAGGTTGGGGGCAATGTGTCTGCAAAGAGGGGGATGTGCGATTGGTCTGCAGTGGGGGTTGCAAGGGATGGGGAGGGAATCTGTAAAATGAGGCATAAGGGATGAGTGGAGGGGAGGGGGGGGGTGCAGGCTCTGAAATGGGGGTGCAGAGAGGAGGCAGATGTAAGGCTGAAGGGTGGAGGTAAGGGGGCACGGGGGGATGCACAAGGTGGATGCAAAGAGAGGTGAAAGGCGCCTGCCTGGGAGGGGCACAGAGGGCGTATGGGGGGGGGGTGTCTCTGGCTGGTGGCACCTCCCTGCCCCCCCTCACCCCCCCCATCCCCTCCACACCTGGATGCGTCCCCTTTGTGTGGCCACAGCCCATCGGAGCAGGGACAAAAGCCCCACAACACGCAGTCCCAGGAGGGGTTGGGTGCAGCAGGGAGCAGCAGAGAAGTCCCCCCACCTTCCCCCCCATTTTAGCATCATCTTATCTGGGCTGTCCCCAGGGAGCACCTCCTGGCCCATTGCACCCATCTATTGAGCATTCATGGGACCCAGCACCCCATGGGACCTGGCACCTCCCATGGGACTCCATACAACCCATCAAACCCAATTGACCCCATAGAATCCCATTCATTCGACCCTGCACCCCAGGGAAGCCTGCACCCCTCACTGGACAGCATGCCTCCATTGCATCCTGCACCCTCTGTGGGATCCTGCACCCCATAGGACCTCCTACATCCCTCACAGGACCCTATGGATCCCTCTCTGGACACCATGCACCCCTCATGGGACCCTATGCACCCTCCATGGGACTCCATGAACCCCCAGTGAGACCCCAGATGTCCATTGGACCCTGCTCCCTTTGTAGGATCTTGCACCTCCTCTGACCCTCTGCACCCTCCATGGGACCACATGCATCCATTGGTCCCCATGTCCCTCATGGGTCTCCACAAACCCCATGGGATCTTGCACCCCCTGACACCCTGGACCCCACATGGGATACATGCACCCATGGGATCCTGCAGCCTCTATGGGAACCCATGCACCCAAGGGACCCCACAGCAGCCCGGGGTCCCCCCTCATATCTGGAGCAGCTGCCTTCAGTGCCAGACTGGGTATGGGAATGAATTCACCTTCCCTGAAATGGAGGGAGATAAAGATGTAGGGATGGGGATGGAGCAGGGACTGCTCTCAGACCCCCTCTGCCTCCTTCCCAGATTGGCTCCATGCAGGCAGCTGTCCTCATCCCATAAGAACCCCAAGATCAGACTTATTCATTCCATTTGGGTGCAATTAATCCCCTCCCATTTGCTCAGGGACCCTCACAGACCCCGTGCTCCCATCTCTGCAGCTCTGCTTGTGTGGGGTGAGACAGTGGGGATGGGGCTCACAAAGTGCTTTCTTAACTGGAAAAGCTGCAATGAGGCAGGGAAACTGAGGCAGGGCACCCATAAATCCCTACTGCAACATGAAAATAAAAGAGAAGTTTTTGCTCAGCAAACAGCAACGTGGAACAGCTGCTGCTGCTCCAGAGCTACAAACAAACCCTTGAAACTCAGAGTCCTCTTTCCCATATTGTGACAATTGGGTGTTTTCTATGAAACCATGAGATCTTCCCATTTCCCCAGAGAAATAAACACTGGGGGTCCGTGCCTTAAGGGACAGAATGTTTTCTCAGGGCCGTTTACTTTGCTGGCACCATTACACGATGCTTCAAACAGGGATGGGCTGCTCAGACCCCAGTCAGACTGTGGGTTTGGCACAAGGAGGTGCCCCCCATTTTCTGTAGTTGCACCGAATGCTTGAATAATACAAAAGCAGCAGGATTGGAGCTTGGATCCCCATGGGATTTGTGTTGAGCAGAGCTCGGTGTCGGCTTCCCTCGCCGTGTTGTCTTACAGCTGCCTCACCTTTCAGGGCCAGCGCTTCACCTCCGTCCTGAGCGGATAGCAGGAGGGAAATGTGCAGCACAGAGGGATGAGCTCAGAGCGGGATGTAAGGCAGGGCAGTGGAGAGCTGGGGAAGAGAGGAGGTGGTGACCCGGAGGGATCCCACGTTCTTGTGTTCCACGAGGGTTGTGGGCAGTGGTTTCACCAACGTGGGGTGCAAAGCTGCAGGGGATGGAAATGAGAAACCTTTGCACGGGGCTCCGCTTTGCTGCATCCTCGACCTGGGAGGAGGTTCTGCTGGTTAGAAATAGGTTGCCTTGCTTTGAAAATTTGGAAGAAGCTTTTTTAATCCTTCACCAACTTCAGTCCCGTGTTAGGGCTCAGTTTGACTAATAAGGGGCTAATGGAAGTCGTGCCAAAGTGAGACCTTCCTGCAGTTTGCACAGGAAATTGCCACAAAACCCAGTGCCATCCCATAATATTGGTTTTCCCGACAGTTCGCACATCAGCAGCTCAGATTTTAAACGCCCAAACGACCTTCAGCCGCTCCATTTTTCAGCCCCGTTAACAGATGGGCTCCAACCTGGAGCACTTTGGGCACCGCTGCCCTTGGCTCAACCAAATCCCTCATCCCGATGGAACTCCAGCAGTATTTTGGCCATGACCTCAGTTCCTGTGGGATGTGGGGATCGGGATTTTGGAGCAGCCCCAGGGCTTGGAGGGCACTGGCTGGTGGAAGGGTTGGTGGGGACATCGTGTTGGTGATGGGAGCATCATGTTGGTGGGAGCATCATTTTGGTGGGGCCATCGTACTGGTGGGGGCATCATGTTCATGGCAGCATCATTTTGATGGGACCGTCATGCTGGTGGGGACGCAGTGTTGGTGGGACCACCATTTTTGTGGGGACATAGTTGGTGAGACCATTGTATTGATGGGATCATCATGTTGATGGAGCCATCACGTTCATGAGACCTTCATTTTGATGGGACCATCACGTTGGTGGGGACACCGTGTTGGTGAGCATCTCCCGGTTTCGGAGTGCGTGTCTTTATTTAACCTCACTGGCCGTGCCCCATGAATTCTGGTTCCAGAAAACCCACCCGTGTTTGTTGGGACTGGGGGCGTCACTGGGTTCCTCCTGGTGGGGGCAGCTCTGCTGGGGGGGGGGGGGTGCAGGATCCACTCGGATGTCCCGGAGGAGCCTGGCTAAATGCAGGACCCAGAGGCTCCACCTGCCCTCAAAGGTGATGTCCAACGTGGGGCTGAGCCAGAGAGCAGCTGCAAGATAACTCTTGTGGAGAAGCTGCAGGTAGCATGGCCAGAGCTCCTTGCACAGCACCCAGAGGTGGTGCCCTGGGGAGATGGTTTGTGGTGGGCAGGGTGGTGCTGATTGGTGGTACCCACTGAACACACCCAAGCTTGCAAGTTGGCAGTGATTTTGTTCTGTGCTTTCATCCCATGCTTTTTCTGAGGTTGTTTTGTACAAATCTGGGCTGGGGGAGCTGAATTTGCTGCTAAAATGGGCTGAAGGTGAGCAAATAAGGGAGCCATGAGCGCTGCTTTGGCCATGGGATCATCAGGTCAACCCCAAGAGCAGCCCTGCTGTCCAGCACATCAATCTGGAGAGCAGTGGTGTGGAGAGACCCCCATTCTCCTTCCCAACACATAACCACAGATAGGGGGGTGAGCATCCTCCTGAGCACCTCTGCAGCATCAATTTCAGCTGCAAATCTCCAACAGAAAGTGCACCATTATCGTCTGTTGGAACAGCCCACAATCTTCTGGTGGCTGCGATGTCAGGTATGGTGAATGGGAATTCACAGCTTCCAGCCCTTTGCCATCCCCCTTCACGGAGGAATAATTTGGAACCCAGTGGAAACACAACGGTGCTCACTTGGAGGTCGCAGTTTCTCTTTGCGTTGGTGAAAACACTGCGGTCGTTGTGGTTGAATTCCTGCCGCCTGAGTGGATGTGAATGGAGGAATAGATTTTCGGCTTGTGATGCACAAATGCTCTCCTGATGCAGCAATGGTATCTCAGCCCAGGAATGCATCGGCTCTTTTGCAAGGGGAAAAATCACGTTTTCCATGGAAGGCAACCAGAGCTGACCGTGCTCCCACCGTGCTGGAGATGGAGCTGCCCTTGTAGGTCTCTGCTTTTGGAGTTGGTGACGGCCGTGTCCTGTGGCCAAGTGCCACCTAGCGAGCCCTGCAGGGATCTCCATCCGGCACAGCTGCACTGCATCTTCAGGAATGGAAAAGTGCATTCCACCCCCCCCCCCCCCCCCCCCCCCCGCCTTGAAATCTATTTATTTCATAGAATCAGAAAATGGTTTGGGTTGAATGGACCTCAAGGATCATCCAGCTCCAACCCCCCTGACGCAGGCAGGGCTGCCAACCTCCACATTTGATACTAAACAAGGCTGCTCAGGGCTCCATCCAACCTGGCCTTGAACACCTCCAGGGATGGACGGGGCATCCACAGCCTCTGTTTGTTCTAGGAAGCTGCAAAAGCAAAGAAGTACGGGTTTTGTCTTTGAGGGCATCTAACACACGCTACCCTCCCCTCCTGCAATAAATACTGGCAGCCTCAATTTCTACAAAAACACAAGAATAAAATGTAATCCTGCTCCTTGCCCAGCAGGGACCCGATGAAGAGGCAGTGGTTGACCAAGGAGGAACGAGCAACGTTGTCAATATCCACTATGAGAAGGAGGAGCTGGAAGGTGAGAGGTTGGACTGGATGATCTTTTCCCACCTTGATGATTCCGTTAGGCGATAGCAGAACCTGCTGTGCCTGTTAACCAAGAAACACGCTCCCTTTCACAATTTTCATATTATTATTTTATTTAATGGAGGAGGGCAGGGTGAATCCCAGAACAGTAGAGCTGGAAAGAACCTTTGGGTTCCTCCTGCTCAGACAGAACTCTATGGGCTCCATGCCCTTGTCCTGGCTCTGGGCAGCACCAAGCAGATCCCAGCCCCATCCTTCTGGGTTCCTCCTTTAGATGTTGATCTGCACTGCTCAGGACCCCCTCCCCTTTTGTCCCTCACGAGCAGCCTTCTCAGCCTGTCCCCACCAGGAGGGACTCCAGGCCCCCAGTAGCTCTGCACCCTCCACGTTGCTCATTCCAGCAGTTCCCTGTCTGCCCTGAACTGGGAGCCCAGTGCTCCCAATGGGTTCTCCACAGTGCAGAGCACAGCGGGAAGCACCTCCCTGCCCTGCTGGCTGTGCTCTGTGCAGTGCCCCACAGGGAACCTTTGGCCAACATGGCACACTGCTGGCTCATGGTCACCCTGTTGATCAACCCTTGGTCAACTCTTGGTCAACCTGTTGGCCACCATTGACTGTCTTGACATGCTGCTGGCTCATGGTCACCTTGTTGGCCACCGGGACCCCCAGGTCCTTCTCTGCAGAGCTCTTTTCCAGCAGCTCAGCCCCTGACCTGCACTGATGCATGCTCTTATTCCTCCCCAGGTAGAGAACATGATTTTCCCTCAGTGAACCCATGCTGACTGCCTCTGATAACCTCCTTTTCTTCCATCATCACAGCTCCCTTTCTCAATGAGGCTGCTCCTGACTGGATGAGAATTGCAGACAGGGCTTCAATTCTTTGTTTTCCTCTTGTTCTTTAGCTCAGTATCAGGAGGGTGACCTGATCATTTCACCACCTTGTCCTTATTTTAAGGATAATCCCATTTCGTAATGAACAACTCTGAGCTTTGTCCAGGCAAAGCTTGAGTTGAAGAAGAGATTCAACCCTCCGGTGTTACTTTTAAAAAACAGGGAGCCATGGCTTTTTGTTGTTGTGTTGTAGCAAAACTCAAGTAAAAATAAGCCCACTGTGTCACGGTGCTGCTCTCCCACAGGACACCGGACCCTGTATGTGGGTGTGCAGATGCCCTTGGTGAGGCAGAGCCACCGGCACCACCGGCCCCGCAGCCAGAAGCATCGGAAGCGCGAACGGGCGAAGGAGGCAGCTCCTGAAGAGCAGGGCTACCACTGTGAGTCCTGGGGATGAGGAGCCTTAAGGCTGGGGGGGTCTGGCTCTGTGGGGTGGCCTCGAGGGCTATAGCTGCTATTTGGGATCAAAACTGCATTATTGAGCAAGGGTCTCTATTTGCAGAGCTGGAGCTGGGGAGCTGTGGGAGTTAGGGATGTTACTGGGCATGGAGGGGATGGGTTGATGGTTGGATTCGGTGATGCTGGAGGTCTTCTCCCACCGTCACGATTCTGTGATTCCTGTATTGATTGAGCGTGGTGGGGGGTGGTTGGATTTAGTAATCTTATAGATGCCTTTTCCAGCCTTAATGATTCTATGATTCTCGTGCTGATTTGATGCCCGGCCAGCTGCTGTTTTGGGGGAAAATTGCATTATTGAGAGCAAGAACCTCTGTTTGCAAACTTTTCTTGGGATTTTTTTTTCCAGACAATTAAACACATAGCCTCATCTTAGGGAGTCTGTCTTCATGTGGGAAAGTCACATTTATTGGAGGACGTAGAATAGATTGGAGGAGACTGGGAGGGATTGGAGGGGGGAAAAATTTATTTTCCAAAGAAGTGGTGATGCAGTGGCACAGGCTGGTGGCCCAGGGAAGCAGTGGGATCACCATCCCCAGAGGTGTTCAAGAACCATGGAGGTGTGACACCTGGAGACGCAGTCAATGGGCATGGTGGGACGGGTTGGGGTCAGACTGGGTGATCTCAGAGGTCTCTTTCAACTTTAATGGTTCTGTGATTCTATGATTCTGTTCATAGAGATTCTGTTTGTATGATTCCATGATTCTGTTCATTCTGTTAGGGATGTGGTTAGGGGGCACGGTGGGGATGGACTGATGGTTGCACTTGGTGATCTTATGGTTGACCTGGCCCCAACATGGGGTGTTTGGCTCTGTGCTTCTCCCATAGACACTCCATCACAGCGGGTGCAGTTCATCCTCAGCACCGAGGAGGACGAGCAGCACGTCCCTCATGATCTGTTCACCGAACTGGATGAGATCCGCGTGAAAGAAGGCGAGGGCACAGAGTGGAAGGAGACAGCGAGGTAAATGGCAGCTCCTCCTGCATCAGGGCTGTCCGCAGTGCCGTGGGGCTGACCCCGAGCGGTGCCTGCAGGTGGCTGAAATTCGAGGAGGACGTGGAAGACGGCGGCGAGCGCTGGAGCAAACCCTACGTGGCCACACTCTCCTTGCACAGCCTCTTTGAGCTGAGGAACTGCATCATCAAAGGCACAGTGCTGCTGGATATGTGTGCCAACAGCACCGAGGAGATCGCAGGTACCGCTCGGTGTCGGGGTGGGACCGTGCGCTGCAAACCTTACCCCCAGGCATCCCATCCTTCAGAAATCCCGTTGCAGTTTTGTGTCTCAAAGGTTTGTTGGGCTTTGCTTTGGCCTGGCGGAAGGCTGAGCGTTTTCTTGCAATGTGGGACCCTTCTGAGAGCCATTTCTGGGGCTGGAGAAACAACTTGGAGAATGTTTTGCATCCAAAGCAGGCGTTTGCGATCAGGGCTCAGCAGTCTGCTCATGGAAGCATGGAGCTTTGCATAGAGCTGAACCTCTTAGAAATGAACACAGTCTGCATAAGGGCTGAGCCTCGTTAAATAAATTAGTTATTACCAGCTATTTCCTCACGTTCTTTTTTTCCCTTTTGCCTTAACACTGAGGATTTGGGAGCTTTGAAGGCAGAGTTCATCTGGAAGATGACCAGGCAGTGTGTTTTGGGGTGAGGGGAGGAGGAAGATAATAGAAGTTAATTGGAAAAGCAGGCTTTGGAGAAATGATGGTTGACTGGTGGTCCCCATTCAGCCCTTTCAGGAGGCAGGGGAGTCACAGCCATTCTCAGCACATTTCTCAGCAAATTGCAGTCATTTGGTGGAGGGAACTCAGGGAAGGTCTGTGCTTTGGGTTGCTTTTAATTTGGTTGGATACGTGGAGCAACACTGAAAGACCAGACCAGGCGAGGAAATTGCATTATTTAGAAGGAGAAATAATTACCGTAGTTGAGCAATGAATAAGCACTTTGATGCTGTTTTTTAGCAAAAGAAAATTCTTGCTTTTGTTGCAAAAGCTGAGTTGCATTAAAAATACCTCATGGAGTAAAGCTGTGCCCGTGCTGAGCTGTGCTGCATCCCTCTTGGGTTCTGCAGGGGTTCTCCTCTCACATCCCTTTCCCACCCTCAGATATGATCCTGGACCAGCAGAACCACTCCAGTGAGTTTGATGAGAGCATGCGGGAGAAGGTCCGTGAGGTCCTTCTCAAAAAGCACCACCACCAGAACGAGAAGAAGAGAAACAACCTCCTCCCCATCGTCCTCTCCTTCGCTGACAAGCCAGGTGAAGGGTCCTATAGGGCCAGGCACTGGGTGAAGGTTCCTGTAGGGTTTGGCACCAGGTGAAGGCTCTTGTGGGATCTGGCCCCGTTGGACTTGCCCTGCACGAGGATTTATGTCCCAGTTGCTCTTTGTCTGTCTTTCTGAGTCTTTCTTTCTCCTCCCAGCCCAAACGCTCATCCCCCATCCTCCTCCCACCACCATAGAAGCTAAAAATGGGGTAAACCACGACACCAGCCCCATGGATTTAAGCAAGGTGAGATCCTGTAGCTTTCTTAGGGCTGGTTTTGCTCTTGCAAATGTGTCTACAGCAGAGTGCTGTGGGCTTCCACTTTGGGGTAAGAGCCTGAAAAGCCCTTCGTTTGATGTGCACAGGCAGAGCTGCACTTCATGAAGAAAATTCCCACTGGGGCTGAAGCAGCAAACGTGCTGGTGGGAGAGCTGGATTTCCTTCAGCAGCCCATCATGGCCTTCGCCCGCCTCACCCCGGCTGTCCTCCTCTCGGGAATGACAGAAGTCCCCATCCCAACCAGGTCAGAAGGAGAAGCACAAGGTTCTTCTTTAAAAATAACAACAAAAACCAACATCTAAATTCATCCTGAGAGAATGAGGCCAGCAGGAGCGAGTCTGCAAGCACATTTCCCCCATCTCTCGTTCTCCACCTTCGTTTCTCCCTTCCCTGCTGTGGTTTCTAAGGGCACTGGTCGATGGCAGTGAACATCAACCCCAAAATTATAAAATGCACTGGCCAATTGTAATGAACATCAACACAAAAGTTAAAAACCGCCCAACTTTAATGAAAGTCAGCTTGAATGGTCAGTTGGCAAAGGGGTTTTGATGAGTTTAAAATCCATCACCTGTGTGCCCAGTCTCAGGCTGTGCTCTGGACTGGAAGCTGCTGGGATTTCTTTGGGTGCTCCCTAAGCAAGGACCTGTTCTTCTCTCTTGTTTTGTTTTCCTCACTCAGGTTTCTGTTTGTGTTGTTGGGACCAGAAGGAAAAGCCCATCAGTACCACGAGATCGGCAGGTCCATGGCCACGCTGATGACGGATGAGGTGTGATGAGATAATGCAGATCCCAGGGTTGTTTTTGGCTTTCTTCCTCTCTCCCCATCTCCACTGCAGTGAGGATTTCGGATCACCTCCACTGTAGCAAGGAAGCAGATCTGGAGACCTGAAAGCTCCCAAATTTTGCACCTAAAGCCAACACCAGGGGTCTGCATCGCCCCATATGGAGGGCATGGTGGAGATGAGTTGACAATTAGACTGGATGACTGTAGTGCTCTTTTCTAATCTTAATTATTCTACGATTCTGTCCCAGAGCCCACATTCCCATCCTGGTTGCAATCCTGCACCTCATCCTGCTCTCCAGAATCCCCAACATGCGAAACCTCTTTAAGATGACTGAAGGATGGGAGGAAATGACCCCAAATCCCACGATGCACAAATTTTTCCTTTTGGGGAAACTTGGGGGAAAACTCTTCCGCGTTTATCTGGGAGTTTATTGCGCTGGTTAGGACAACAGTGCTGCATTGTCCCCTCACCAGCTGTCCCCTACCTGCAGGTTTTTCATGACGTTGCCTACAAAGCCAAGAACCGGGCTGACCTGGTGGCTGGCATCGATGAGTTCCTGGATCAGGTCACAGTTCTGCCACCAGGAGAGTGGGACCCATCGATCCGCATCGAGCCCCCCAAAAACGTCCCTTCTCAGGTGGGTGCTGCTGTGGAGGGAGGTGTGAGGGGGTGGGTGGGAGACTTGGGAATAAATCCATCTCTCTGTACAGAAAAAAAGGAAGGTGCCCGGAGCTCTGGATGACAATGCTTCTCACAGAAAGCCTGAAAAACATAGCGGCCCTGAACTGGAGCGGACAGGAAGGTGGGAGGTTCAGTATTCTTATTTAGAAAAAAAGGGGAGATTTGAGTGAGATTTGGGGTGGAAATTCTTTAGCCAGAGGGCAGTGAAACCACTTCTGCCCATAGAAGTGTGGGTGCCCCATCCCTGGAGATGCTCAAGGATATAGATGGGGCTCTGGACAGCTGATGGAGGAGTGGGACCAACCCAGGGCAGGTGGTGAAGTTGGAGGGGCTTTGAGAACCCTTACAACTCAACCATCCTATGGTTCTGTGATCTTGAAGGACCCTTCCATCCTAACCACCCTGTGGTTCTACGATCTCAAAGGACTCTTCCAACCCAACCATTCTCTGGTTCTGTGATCTTTGAGCTCCCTTCCAAACCAAGCCATACTGTGGTTTTATGGTTCTATGTGGTTCTATGATGGTGTCTCAGGGTAGCTCCTTTTCATTGTTGGAGGGTTTTTTTGGTGTGTGTAAAATGGGAGAGGGACACTGCTTTTTAGCTATGGAAGCTGCTCTATGCCCATAGTTGCACAAAATTCTCCGTTCTGCCTGCCCTATCTATTTTCTTGTCCCTCCTCCAGACTCTTTGGAGGTTTGATCCTGGACGTGAAGCGGAAAGCACCGTGGTTCTGGAGTGACTTTCGGGATGCGCTGAGTCTGCAGTGCCTGGCATCCTTCCTCTTCCTCTACTGTGCCTGCATGTCCCCTGTCATCACCTTCGGGGGGCTGCTGGGGGAGGCCACCGATGGCCACATAGTGAGTATGGGGTGATGGGGAGGTGTGTGGGGTGATGGGGAGGTGTGTGGGGTGATGGGGAGGAGTGTGGGGTGATGGGGAGGTGTGCATGGCCGTGACACAATGGGACACGGCATGATGGGACTTGCTGGGTTGGCAGTTGGGCTTATGACCTAAGTCTTTTCCAACCTAAATGACGCTATGTTTCTATTTACTATTTCTGTATCTCTATTTTCAATTGCAAATTTACTTTCTTTTTTATTTTTCCTACAATAATGCTTTTCTCACATTTTTTTTTCACTTTTTTTTCATCCACGAATGCTTTACCCACGTGATTTAATTGCTCTTCTCTTCCCCGGGCAGAGCGCCATGGAGTCGCTGCTGGGCGCATCCATGACTGGCGTTGTCTATTCCCTCTTTGCTGGCCAACCTCTCACCATCCTTGGCAGCACCGGCCCTGTCCTCGTGTTCGAGAAGATCCTCTACAAGTTTTGCAAGTAAGATTGGCTGCACGGAGCCTTCTGAAGGCTGAGATTTTTTTTTTCTGTTATTTTTCTTAATGGTAGCTGTGAGATTGGAGATGATCTGAACTGGCTACTGTGGCATGCGCCGAGTGCATTGCATATTCCTACCTCCAGGATGCAAGGGTTTGTGCAGAGTTTGTGGGGTTGAGGCAAAACAGGATGAGGAGAAATCACCTGTATGGAGATGTTCAAGATGGGACGCATGAGTGAGAGGAGACAAATCACTCTGTTTTGGGAGCATGAAGGAAGATTTGCTTTCTCTCAGCCACAGAAGCAAGTTTTTTTTTCCAAAGGCAGAAATACATTTCACCCAGACAGCCAAACAATTTTCCCTTCTGCTGAAATATTTGGAGATTTGATGATTTTGTTGAGGAAGCAGGAGCTTTTCATGCCAAATGCATACTTTCTGTGAGAGCCATTGCCGTGATGGCTGTGATGACAGTGATTAGCCACCCTTGCTGCAATTAATCACCCACACCATTCAGGCAGCTGGTGCTGGATGCCCAACCAGAGGGTTTTGGTGTTGGCATAAGGTGATGGGCGAACACAATGTGCTCCCCTACAAAGACCTGACCTCAGTTAGCCTCTGAGATACTGACACCGCATCACTGTTAAATAATGCTAATTACCTCATTGGCCTCTCCACCCATGGGCCCTGCAGCCCCGCGGCTGTCTGTAGTACACGCAAACCACATTCCTTGGCACGTTCCTACATCTCTCTGGATTTTCCCTGAGGGAAAACCCGTTCGCTTTCCCTCCCATCTCAGGGACTACGCGCTCTCCTACCTGTCCCTGCGGACGTGCATCGGGCTGTGGACTGCCTTCCTCTGCATGGTGCTGGTGGCCACGGATGCCAGCTGCCTGGTGTGCTACATCACCCGCTTCACCGAGGAAGCCTTCGCCGCCCTCATCTGCATCATCTTCATCTACGAGGCTCTGGAGAAGCTCATCTGTCTGGGAGAGACCTACCCGGTGCACATGCACAGCCAGCTTGACTTCCTCACCCTCTACTAGTGGGTTTTTTTCCCCTAAAACACCCCACTGGCAGCACCTTAGGGCTGCGCCAACGCTGCTCCTCCTTCCCTTCCCCTTGGTTCTCTCCTCCCAGCTGTAAGTGTGCAGCTCCCACCCATCCCACCAATGAAACGCTGCACTTTTGGCAGAGCAATGAGGTCAACCCTGCAGCCATCGCCTGGGAAAACCTCACCGTATCTGTAAGTGCCCGTTGGTGTCAAGGCGGTGCCAAAGCCCTTCGGGTGATGCTGTGCTTCAAACTGATGTGAAAAATCACTGCTGTGGTGCGGTGTGTGTGGTGCCCACCTGCGATCTTGGGAAGGAGTGCACCATACTCTTAGCTCTAGTGGTGATGCCTGTCACCCCCAGGCATGATGCAGGGCGGTATTTCTGGCTGGGAGTGAGGTTGGTGGTGGTGTGAGCACTGGATGTGTTGGAGGTCTTAAGTTCATGCCTGAAGGTGGTAATTGGTTCTTTAATTGGTCCTCAGTAACTCCAGGGCTAGTTCTTATTCAGCGCTGTCTGCACCTACATGCATAAGGCTTAGTATCCGAGCGTGCACATATCTGCATATCTGAGCGTGCACACGTCTGCCTGTCTGATGTGTCCCAGGGATGAGCCCTGGGAGATGGTGCTTTGTCTATCCTTTCCTACCATGGTGATCACCTCCCTCCTTTCCCTTTTTTCCCTTTACTCTGCCCCCAAGAATCCCCTTTGGGCATCTCATCCCCCTGTGGTGCCTTCAGCCATAGCTGCATGCAGTCCAAATGGAGAACGTGCCATGACTCTGTGCCCCATCACAGCCCATTTCTCCCTGTCCCCTCTGTTGATGTGTCACTCGTTAAGCTCCCGCTGCTCCTCAGATATAAATCTTCCCTGCCAGCAGCAGGCACAAGGTCACGGATCTCAGACCAGGCCCCCAACCCTGCCTCAGTTACCCAACATTTCCTTTGAGCACATGTACCTCTTTTGTGTCCTCATGCTCTGTTTCTCCAGGAATGTCGACATTTGCATGGAGAATTTCATGGACCTGCCTGTGGACACGATGGCCCCTACACACCCAATGTCCTCTTCTGGTCCTGCATCCTCTTCTTCTCCACCTTTGTCCTCTCGAGTTCACTGAAGATGTTTAAAACCAGCCGCTACTTCCCAACCAGAGTAGGTAGAAGGTGGGGGCCAGCAGAAGGCCCCACACTCATTGCCTCAGATATTGCAGCATTTGCCACCACTGGGTCAAGAACTGCTGATGGAAGAGCCTTGAAGGCCATGATCTCTGTTGGCTTGGATGGGATCTCCATTGGTTTGGATGGGATCTCCATTGATTTGGATGGGATCCCCATCAACTGTTTCCTTACCATTTCTGTGAGCTCAGTGATCTCTGCATTTCCTACCTGCCTGAAGGCCTGTCCCAGTGCAGTGTAAAATGATGACATGATTCTATGAAAATCAGACCCTCCAAAGTTATTTTTTCCCCTCACCATTGTGTACTCTACAGGAAGGTTGGTTCATATGAGCAGCTGCCATAGAAGAAGAGATATTTCTTCTCTATAGGGAACAAATGTACCTCAGTGCCTTATTCCCATTTCAGCAGTGAGAGTGGCTGTAGTGACAAATGTTTATTTCCAAATATTTAATAATGATTAAAATAAAAAGAATTAAACATCCCTTTCCCCTTAATTAAGCTGTTTTCTTTTCTATCTGACACCAGATCTCACAGGGACAAACACAGCAGCAGCTTCTAACCAAGGGATTCAGCTCACGTCCTCAGAGTGGTGGGGTTTTGTTAATCAGCCTTCATGTTGTTCGCATCCCTAAGCTTTTTCATCTCGTGCTGCTCCTGTGTTTGCCATGACCCTTTCTTTCAGCATCAATTTCTTGCCCCCATAGGTCCGGTCTACGATAAGTGACTTTGCTGTTTTCCTCACCATCGTCGTCATGGTGGTCATTGACTTCCTCATTGGGATCCCATCACCAAAGCTCCACGTCCCCCATATGTTCAAGGTAATGGGGAGCTTTGGCACAGGGTTGGCTTCACCCCGTGGCTGTGCTGCTGGGGACATCAACCTGATGATAATGGGGCTGGACAGGGCTGAGCCTGAGGGAAGTGCTGGCGGTGTGACTTTCTTCCACCTTCCAATGCATCACTTCTCTCTGGAAACGAGAAAACAACCCTAAAACTTGATATGGACAGGAGAAATATCTATGGGTGCTTGCAAAGAGTGCTGCTGAAACCCTTAGCAGAGAGTAATGCAAAGCATTGAGAATGCTTCAAAGTGGAGATGGAGGGGAAATCCAAGCTGGCAGGTGACACTAATGCTGGTGCTTTGTCCCAGCCCACCAGGGATGACCGTGGGTGGCTCATGAACCCCATAGGACCCAACCCATGGTGGACGGTGTTGGCTGCGCTCATCCCAGCTCTGCTCTGCACCATCCTGATATTCATGGACCAGCAGATCACCGCCGTCATTGTGAACAGGAAGGAGCACAGGCTGAAGGTAAGTGGTTGCGAGAGGAGAATCCAACCCCAACCCTAAAAAATGCAAACACATTTGCTTGGGGCAAACAGCTCTGCTTGGCAGGATGCTCCTCTGCATTAATGATGTCACAGGGAGCAAACAAGAAGGCAGTTTGTACAGGAAACCTTTCAGAGGCAGCAAATTAACCTTGTAACAATAACGAGGAGTGTTTTTGTTTTAAAATGTCAGCAGCAAATTTAGGGGAATGAATCGTTTTAACACAGTGCCAGGAACCTGCCAGTCACGTCTCACTTGTGAGTGGTGGGAGTGTGCTGCAAGGATGGGAAAAACTCGATGTTTTTTGAAGAGTTAGGAGCTGTACTGAAAATAAACCCACCCTAGAGTCTGCTTTGTCTGAACTCTGGACAGATTTTCACAGGGAGAACTTGTGCAAACCTGAGCATATCTGTAGTTGTTTCCAATTATTTTAGATTTGCAAAGAGTTGACTCGAGCTCGAGCAAGCTGCGAGTTTGGCTCATTGCTCTTCTGCTGTGGGATGCTCTGTTTCTCGTTCTGCAGAAAGGATGTGGGTACCACCTGGACCTCTTCATGGTGGCTGTGATGCTCGGGGTGTGCTCAGTGATGGGGCTGCCCTGGTTTGTGGCCGCGACCGTCCTCTCCATCACCCACGTGAACAGCCTCAAACTGGAGTCAGGCTGCTCAGCTCCTGGAGAACAACCCAGATTTTTGGGGATACGAGAGCAGAGGGTCACGGGACTGATGATCTTTGTGCTCATGGGCTGTTCCGTCTTCTTGACTGCTGTGTTAAAGGTAGGAGGAAAATGCAAAGCACCCAACAGCCTGGAGGATTTTTGGAGATTGCACAAAAGTAGTCTCTAGTCCCCTCTCCAGGTCCGAGGGGCACAGGAGGTGATCCCAGACCTTGAAGTGTGACCCATAATAGCAACTGGCCCCACTTGCACTTCCCAACCCTTCAGTTGGGCATACTTGAGGGCACCAAGCCACATCATTTTTTGATTGTCTTTTGGACCTGCCTGTGTTTATGGGCTACAGCCTCATGCATTCAGACCACTACATCCACTCTCTTTCCATCAGTAAGAGGACAGGTTGCACTGTGCTCAGAGCTACCGTTCCTGGTGGCTAAATGTGCTGCAGTCTTCTCGTGCACATTCCTCCCACAAAGTCATTTAATCTCCAGGCTGAAGGCAGGCACGCCACCTCTGCATTTTGCCACAGGAATATGCAGAGCTGTTTTCCTGCCGTCACAGAGCGCAGCATATGGTAGCATGGGTGAAATCACCTATTTTCCTGCAATCTTTCTGGAAAATTGGATTGTTCTGATGAAAAAGTGGCTCAGAAGTTCTGCCTAAAGCAGAGCGCTTCTCACATGCATGCACAAAATGTCCAGTGGATAAAATTCGACACATCTCCAGCCCTGTGGAAACTGGAAGGCTTTGGGCAACTTTATGCAGAATGAAAGGATAAGATTGAAAATGCAATGGCTTTACTTAAAATAGCATTCCCTTTGCAGTTTATACCAATGCCTGTGCTGTACGGTGTCTTTCTCTACATGGGTGTATCGTCGCTCAGAGGAATCCAGGTATGGACTGTTGCACCACGCAGATGTTTGCTCCCTGATATTTTGTCTTACTGAGAGAAGGGGAAAAAAGGTCTTGCAGCCAGTAGTGGGGGAAAAGAGAAAAGCCTCTTCAAGTGCAAGAGATGGAAATAGAGAATAATATTGGAAGGAATCCATAAGGGTCATCACGGAGCCCAAATTGTTGCTTGGAGGTGGTAGAGGCAGAGGAAGGGGGTCTGCAGGGCTGAGAGGACCGGGTGGGTTTGGTGCTGTCTGTGTTATGGCCTCAGTGCTTTGTTACGTGAAGATGGGAGAATTCGATGCAAGTGGAAGGAAATGTCTCCCTCTCGTGGAAGTTGTTGCTGGAGGATTCACTAGGCAAAGGAAAGTTAATTATAGAATCACGTGGGATAATTGCAGTTTGGTGACGGCTCTGCAGGGTTACGTTCCCACAGGAAGAGATCAGCGCTTATTGTGAGAGCCCTAATAAATTCCTACAGGTCTCAGTAAGGCCAGCAACTCCCTGCAGTCCCACAGTGGCATCTCCTCATTGTTTTGCAGTTCTTTGACCGCCTGAAGCTGTTTGGGATGCCGGCCAAGCACCAGCCTGACTTCATCTACCTGCGGCACGTGCCGTTGCGCAAAGTGCACCTCTTCACCCTGGTGCAGCTCACCTGCCTCGTGCTGCTCTGGGTCATCAAGGCGTCCCGTGCGGCCATCGTCTTCCCCATGATGGTTGGTGGCTCTCAACAAGATGCTTGCAGCATTGAACGGGGTGTAGTCGTGCCTCTGGTCTCACCATGGCTTCCCTTAAGGTCCCTTCCAACCCAACCATTCCATGGTTCTGTGACCTCTAAGGGCTTTTCCAGCCCAACCATCCTATGGTTCTACAATCTTGAAGGACCCTTCCAGCCCTACCATCCTATGTTTCTGTTTCTGAAGGTTTTGGCTCTCGTTTTTGTCCGGAAAGTCCTGGATTTTTGCTTCTCGAAGCGAGAGCTCAGCTGGCTGGATGACCTCATGCCAGAAAGCAAGAAGAAGAAGTTGGACGATGCCAAAAATGAAGCCAAAGAAGAAGAGGTAATGCTACTGGGTGCCTGAGTGCTGTGAAATTTCTATCACAGCCAGTCGTTAAACGGTGTGAGGAGTCTGGAACTAAGCAGAAGGAGATTCCAATGGCTTTTGGCAACCATTTTTTTACCTTAAATCATCACTTGAACAGACATACATTAAGCTTAACTGTTGAACAATCATACAACTTTAAAATGCCTTCTAAAATAAAATTGTTTTATTATTGTTGTTATTTTGATCATTATTATTATTGGAAAGATTTGCTCATCATGGGTCTTTAAACCCCCAAAATGTTTGGAGCGAAAGGTTTTCTTCCTGCTCCATCAGTGCTACAGCTGCCGAGGACCAGGAGGGGCAGCATGCAATGTCTGTGTGGGGTTTTTGCTCAAAGACAGGAGGTTGATCTGCCCTTCTGCTGCAGGAGTCTCAGCAAATGATGGAAGCTGCTGCTGCAAACTCAGTCCAGCTGAGCCTGGGGAAGACGAGCTACGTGGGTGTCCCCAACCAGAACAGCAGGGACAGGTAAAGACCCATCACATGCCAGGCGTGGTGGGATGGGTTGGGGTTGGACTGGATGATCTTATAGGTCATTTCCAACCTCAGTGCTCTGTGATTCTATTCAGGGACTCGGTAAGTGGGCTTGGTGGGGATGGGTCAGCGGTTGGACTTGACGATTCACGAGGTCTTTTCCAACTGTAAAAATTGGTTCTATGATTGCAGGACCGACCCTTCTGAGATCAACATCTCAGATGAAATGTCGAAGACAACTGTGTGGAAGGCTCTCACCATGAATGCAGAAAAACTCTGAATCCGAGGAGGAAAAAGGTAAAAGGTAATAGTAATGGTGAATGTGTCCGTGCTGCTCTGCAAGCCACAGCGCCAAAGAGCTCATCCCCAGCAACAGGCAGCAAGTACTGGGGAAATTGAGATTGGAGGATGGATGATTTTAGAGGCCTTTCCAACTTTAATGATTCTGTTTCCCTCTTTTTCTTCTTTCTCCCCTCAGTTGTCCTCTTTAGGGATCTTGGCTTTGAAGGAGAGGAGCGAGAACGTGACTCAGGGATGAGCCGGTGCAGCTGTGCTGGGTGGAGGAAGCAAACACGCACCCTCCCTGGTTCTCTCCTCCGAGTAGCAGGATTCCCATTAAAGCCATTTAAGATGTTTCCAGTTATCCTTGGTGTGCTTCAGGCATTCAGTATCTCTAGACCAGCAATCTGAGGTGCACCTCGCTGTCAGTGGGAGCTCGGTGTTGCTCAGCCTCCGTGTGTACGTGTGTGTGCGTGTGTTGTCGCGGTCTGTGGTGGTAGAGGGGCAGCTACCGCTTGGTCATTCAGTGCTATCTAGTTTTTTTTTTTTAATATCTAATCTCTCCCCTCACCCCCCCCCTCATTTCCCTTTTTCTGTCCAAATATAAACTCTGAATGTACAAAAGAATTTTCTGTTATATTTGACGCATTCTACACTTCCTTCTTCGTCACTGCCAGATTTTGGGCAACCAAGCCTTGCTTGGTTGGGGTCCTTGCTTGGATTCGCTCTTCCCTTCCATCTCTTACCGGTGTGGGAGAGATGTCCTTTGTGGTGGGAAGTGCAGAGAGAAAGGAGAAGCGTTTGTTCCAGTTTTGTCATCATTTTTTTGCTTTGACTCCAGAATCAGCAGGTGCCCATGGAAGGGCTTGGAATTGAGTGATCTTTAACAACTCAACGGATTGTTCTGTGATCATTGATCGTTCAAAGATCATTGGTTCTATGATCTTTGAGGTCCCTCCAACACAGTCTTCCTATGATTCTATAGCCTTTAAGATCATTTCCAACCCAACCATCTTATCATTCCATGATCTTTGAGGTCCCTTCCAAGCCAACCGTTCTGAGGTTCTATGATTTTTCAGGACTCTTCCAACCCAAACCATTCTGTGGTGCTTTGATTCTAAAAAGCTGAAATGCCACCTTCTTGTCCCTGGCTGTGAGTTGGATATAAGGAAACTCCTAAAACCCACTGCTTTGAATAAACCACGTAGTCATGGGAGCAGCCAGCCACATCCATTGCTTTCCTTGCTTTACATCCTCAAGAATACTCTGCTCATTTTCTTTGCCCCCCACCCCATGCAAAAAGCCTTTTCTCTTTCAAGGTAGCATGGAGCATCAGGAAAATGAATTATCTTCAGTGTCCCTTCTAACCCAACCATTCGGTGATTCTATGGAAGCAGGAAGAGGTTTTTCCTTTTTGCTTTCCCTGCTGCCCTGCAGGAAGATGCTGTTGAGCAGGGATGGTACCCATGTGCTCCTCACATTTTGGGAGCCATTGGGCTGTGGTCTCACCCCTGAGACAGACTCCTTTGGGTGGCCATGGAGCCTGGGAGGAAAGGGAACACAGAAGGGACAGTTGTCCTGTCCCCATCCCATGTGAAGTGGCTCCAGGCACTTGGAGCTGCTGCCATCTCCTCATCCCATTTGCTGTCCCATCCATCGGTTCAACCTTTCCATGCCTCAGACGAACCCAGAACACTAATAAATGGATGGGGGAAAATAATCTTCTGTAAGGATGTCAGTGGTGCATCAGCAAACGGGGCAGAAAGTCACTGATTTGGATTTGCAAACCGTGCTTTGGTGGCTGGTGGTTGTCAGAGAAAGAGAAGGGGATTTACCTCTTGCAGGGGAAAATAAACTTGAGTTGGAGGAAGGAAGAGCTGCAAAGCCTGGGTTTGCTCATTGCACGAGAGCAGTGCAGCTCTGACCTTGGAATTATTCACCCTCTGTCTGCAGGACAGCTGCTTTCTGTCTATTAGCCTCTGATTATGAGCAGAAAGTCGGTCTCCACTCCTGTTCGCCCCAGAAGGGACTGCGGCCAGGGGATGGGATTGTTTTCTACATGCACTCAGCGTCCCACAGCTGGCATTGAAGGAGCAGAAAAGTCCCAGCCATGAAGGCAAATATTATTGGTTCCTTATGTTAAAAGCAAACCAGGCTTCCTCAGAGTGCCCTGGCACAGGATGCACAAACATCCGGATCTGAAATGATTTTTTCCCCTGTTTGCAGGCCTAGTCTTCTCTCCTTCATTTTATTTTTAAGTTATTATTTAAAAGGAAGCAGAGTTCTAATTCTTAATGCCATTATTGCAATTGCAGCTGCAGTTCTTGGTGCTGCTGCTTCGTTTACTCACCACCAACCCATGGATTGCTCTGTATGAGCAGACTTGATTGGGGCTGGTGATCTTAGAGGTCTTTTCCAATCGTAAGGATTCCACGATTTGGGGAGGATTTGATATTTCCATGTAGGGGGCAGGGAGCACCCCAAAGGCAGCCCTGGAATCAGCATGGGATTAAAATCACTTCCTTGCAACGTGCCGTGTTGGTTCAGTTGGCAGCAAACTCCATTGCAGGATGGGTGCTGGGGTTCATCCTCATCTCTGGTGCCTTAAAGCAGCTCCTGGGGCCATGCACAAAGGCGGCTCTGTTACATGAGGGGACTTTGGAAGCACTGGGGATGCGAGGAGGAGGAGGAAAAGGAGGAGGAGGAGGAGAAGGAAGAAGGCTCACAACCAGCAGTGCAAAAAGCAAAGCTCCTCTCTCCCATAGGATAAAAAAAAGAAAAAAAAGAAAAAAAAAAAGGATCCTAAATGAATCCTATGGAGAGCCCTAAGTGAAGATGGGCGGGAGGAAAGTAAGAGGGTAATAAGCTTGGTGCTGGCACTTCTGTTTTGTCCCAGTATATTCTCCCTTCTGCCATCTGAATGTAGAAATAGAGGAATTATTTTTGTTCCGAGATACTGAAATGAATTTATTTTTGTTGCAAGAGATGATCTAGTTTGGAAACGCACAGTGTTGTAAATAAAACGGGGAGGAAAAGAAAACATCCGACCAAATCTGTGTTGTCTCCCAGTTCTGAATTTTAATTTATATATTTTTAAAGAATTCGATTTATTTAGGGCTCATTCTGTGAAACCCAAATGCCATCACTCCGTGTCGCTGTCTCGTGGTTCCTGTCTCAAATTGTTGCTGCTATTGACATGTTCCACCATCCCAGCCCCATCTGCTGGGTTTTCTCTGTCGTTCACTGACCACAATGGGAAAACCACCCAATAAAATCTGTTTGTGTCTCTGTGCTGCTCCGGTGTCTCTTGAAGGGCTGTGGTGCTGATGGAGAGGGTTGGAGGTGTTCCTGGAGATGTTTATGGATGTTTCAGACAGGTGGGGGAGTGAGCAGCACTGACCTGGGGGAAATCCATCCCCGCTGGGTTTTGTGAGCTGGTGGGAAAGACGTGACATTATTGGGGTTTTTTTTGAGCAGCATCACTTTGTGTCCTTGATCTGTAGCAAAACTCCACCCAGAGAGAGCAGTCCCTCTGTCGTGTGAGATTTTCTTTTGGTACTGCTTTCAATACAAACAGGGCAGAATTAAACAAAATATGTTCTACTTGTCTTTCATACTCCTTTATTTAATCTTAGAGCCATAGGTCTGAGCAGATGGGATACTCAGGGGGGTCAGGAGGGGGCACCCTGGTTACCATCTACCTAAAATTGAAGGAATTTGGAGAAAAAACGGGGCACCTGAACCAGCCCCTGTCAGAGATTGGTTCTCCCAAAGTCCTCAGGCAGCAGCATGCAGGATCCCCATGGGGTGCTGGGGTGGGTTGGAGCACCCAGAACCAGAATTAGGAAGGGCAGCACGGCAGGAACGGGGGGTAGAGAGGAAATAAATTGGGCAGAGATGCTGAGCTGCAGCGCTGATTTCAGCAGGGGATTGGGAAACACCATGCGGGCTCGTGCAGTGGTTCCATGGATCATTCCTTCTGCAGAGGGTCAGATTGCTGCTGGTGATGCAGGGGTCCCACAGCCATGGGTGCACGCTGGAAAGCCTGGGATTGCTGTTTAATTGTACCTTTTAAAAAGGAAATAATAAGTCAATAAATGGAGAGAGAGAAAGAGAGAGAAAGAGAGAGAAAGAAAGAGAGAAAGCAAGCAAGCAAGCAAGGAAGCAAGAAAGAGAGAAAGAAAGAAAGAGAAAGAGAGAAAGAGAGAAAGGGAAGGAAGGAAGGAAGGAAGGAAGGAAGGAAGGAAGGAAGGAAGGAAGGAAGGAAGGAAGGAAGGAAGGAAGGAAGGAAGGAAGGAAGGAAGGAAGGAAGGAAGGAAGGAAGGAAGGAAGGAAGGAAGGAAGGAAGGAAGGAAGGAAGGAAGGAAGGAAGGAAGGAAGGAAGGAACTGAGCACCAAACAGTTTAGCAGAACAGAAACTCTCCCACACACAAAGTGAAAATGGCTGAGCACAGCTCAGTGCAAAACTGCTTCTGCCCCGTTGTTGATGGTTGGGCTGCATGGATGGCTATACGATCTTGATGGTCTTTTCTGACCTTAATGATTCTATCATTCTTTGATTTCATAAACTATTTAACCCCCCCCCCCACCCCAAAAGCTGCTTCACTTTCCTCATTGTCCTCTATTGCCAATAAGCACTGGATAAAACCCACACGAGAGCAAAAGGAAGAGGTGGTGTTGGGAAGTTTTGCACCCAGTGTGTGGATGCATTTTGAAACGATCCTTTTTGGGGTTGGATGACTTACGCTGCTGGCAGCATGGCCAGGAAGGGGACGCTGCGGGGCTGCTCCCTCATGTACCTCTTGGTGGAGCTGTGGAAATAAGACAACAGCCATAGCAGCCACAACACGAGGATGCTCCAATGAGAATGTGCTGGGGACTTCATAAAATGCTTTTCATTGCCTCTGGAAATGGGATGAAGGAGGATGTGTAGCCAGAAATCCAACCGTACCCAACGTGGCTGGTATTTGTTGGGTTTCAGCACTTTGAAGTTTGTTTTTTTGGTCACGGGCAAAATTTAAAATATGGGCTGCTGTGAGAATGGCATCAGTAAAAGCAGAGATAATTATTGGCCTCATGTTGCATCAGGAGAGGTTTGGGTTGGGCGTTAGGAGACATTTTTTCTTCAAAAGAGTGGTGATGCATTGGCACAGGCTGCCCAGGGAGGTGGTGGAGTCCCCATCCCCAGAGGTGCTCATGAACCATGGAGATGTGGCACCTGTGGGTGGTGGAACGGGTTGAGCTTGGGCTGGATGACCTTCGAGGTCTTTTCCAATCTCACTGATTCTACTACTCTATTTAGAGCTGTGGTTTAGGGAGCAGTGTTGGTGGTAGGTGGCTGGTTGAGCTGGGTAATCTTAGAGTTCTTATCCAACCTTAATGATTCCATGATTCTATGATTCTATTGCTGTTGTCCTTTTGCACTGGGGTGTTTCCCTGCATCATCCTGCTCCCCTCTCCCCTCTACCTGTATCGTTTGGTGTTGATGAGCCAATGCACAAAGTCCTTGGCCTTCATCCTGTCCAGGTAGCGTGTGAAGTCGCTGGTGAAGGTGCCCTCCGAGTGCCGCTTAGTGTTGGATGGGGCTTCGTATGAGGGCCATCTGAGGGCAAAAATGGGGCAAAATGCAGGGATTAATGCACATCAAATAGAAGGGCTCCTGTGCCCTCCCTGCAGGAGGCTGCAAAATGCGGCAACGAGTGGAGCAGTGTCCAGAAAATCTGTAACAACACATAAAAATAATGGTGGGGATCTGACAAGCCTGGCCAGTATTGTCCCTTAAGTGCATGAGACGTCCTGTTCTGTGCCCTGGACCTTGCTTGGCTGCGTCTTTATGGACACCTCCAGCTCCAGGGATCTCATCACTGCTGCTCTCAGCCCTCTGCAGACGGGGGGCTTAAGGGCCAGCCCCTCCTGGCACAGAGACCACAGAGGGTCTCTGCACAGTGTGGAGACAGGCTCAGCACCACTCTGGGTGTCTGCCTCTGCATCTCCCCATGCAGCAGAAATCTCTGCTCTTTGCGGTGTTCTGCCATAGCTAACAGCTCCTGACACATGCTGCCTTTGGCCTCAGGGGGGGCCAGTTGCCTCTGTCCCCATAGAGATGGAAAGGAGAGAGGCACCCAGCCCTGCTCGCCACATTGCCAACACAACCTTTGGGTCTGGGCAATGTGAAACCCCTGTGGGACGTGGCAATGTGGGCTGGCAGAAAGGATGAATCCAAAGGCATCGCTCAATAGCGAGGGGCTCAGCTCTCAGCCTGCAGCAGCTGCCGCCTGCAGCCAACCACCCGATGCCATACCTGAGTGCATCTCCTGTGTCCCTCGGAACCACCTGCCACGCTGCTGGGATCAGCACAGCCAACACCAGCCCGGAGAGGTACAGCCAGCGGATGAGCTTCATTTCTCCTCCTGGAATTCAGATAGAAAAGTACAGCTTGCCATTGCTGTGGAAACCCCTCTAACCCTTCCAGCATGGTAAGGATGGATGTGGAATAAGAGATCCCTGCCAGGAGTGCCGGCAGCATTGTGGTGGGTGCACAGCTGAAAACCCATTCCCATCACTATCCATTAGCACATGGTCCTGGCTGTAGGCACACAGGGTTTGTAGGATCCAAAGACAAAATTCAACTCTGCCACCCCCCACCCCCTTTACCCAGCAGCAATATTCCTTCCTCACACTCATCACCACGATGCTGTGGGACTTTCCCCACCACCAGCTGCTCAGAGAAGCCGTGTTACAAAGAGTTGGCTAATTAGAGTTCTACATTTCCTAACGGGGCTGCACGGCTCAGAGGGTTTAAAATGCACCCCTCCCCCCCCCCCCCCCACCTCTCGTTTGCAGAAAATTAGATTTTTGGTCTATCATCAGGCAATCATTACTTTAATTTCTTCAGAGATTGGTAGGAAAGAAGGGAGCGAAAGGCACTTACCTTCTTGCGAGGACAACTGCTCCCCTAAAAGCAAGATCCTATTTCCCTCCTTTGCTGGTTGTGGCTCAACTCCACTCCTTCCTGGTGCTTTTAAGCTTGTTAGCAGGATGCTAAAAGCTGACAGGTAGGTCATCGGTGCTCCTCTTTTTAGTTGGATGGGTCATTATGAATCATTACAGGATTTTTTAAGAGGGGCCGTTGCAAAAATATAGTTGTTGCCATATTTTTCAGCTTACGCCTTCAGCAATGAGTTGATTAGGTTGCTTTTTTTTTTTTTTTTTTCCTTCTATTCTTTTCTTTTTTTTTTTTTTTGATCATTTCTTTTTCTCTTATCTTTGAATTTCTTTTTTTTTTTTTTTCTTTCATAGCTTGGACCAACGGAGTGACCCACGGGTTTCAAGTTTCCAGGTGCAATGGTCACCATTGCCACAGCACATCGTGCACAGGGAGGTGATTTCTGTGCCCGTAGGACTGCCCTTCCAAACACCTTTGGTATGAGTTGAAAACATTAAAAATGAAAGGAGGAAAATAAATAAATAAATAAAAGGAAGTGGAAAAGTAAATGAAGCATCTGGGTGCACGAGCACTCACTGCTGCTTTCTGCAAGGTGAAATTTAGGCTCAGAGCTCCAAAGATGGGCAGACACCTCTCTCAATCCAAGCCCAGTGTTGTCCCTTAAGGCCAGGTCAGGTATGGGGCCGTTCACCACCGTTTCTCCCATTGGGGGTGAGTGGAAGCAGCTGCAGTTTTGAGCCAGAGCTTCATCCCGTGGGACATCTGGGCTCAGACCAGGGGCTGGGGAACATCTGGAACTCATCAGGACAAGGACAATGGGTTCTGCTGGGGTGTCTCCTGAGAGCTGGGCTCATCCCTTTAAAATCCATGGAAACGAGGCTGGAGGGGAGCAGAACTGCCAGCTGTGGGGTGCTGACAGCCCCTGAGCGACACAGCCCTGAGCTCCACGGCCATCCCAGGGCGGGGGCTCCTGAGGGAGCACTGGGGGAACCCAGGAACTCATGTTTCAGTGCTCAGGGGCTAAATGTGCCCATTGCAGCCCAAGTGCCCATTTCACAGGTGCAGAGAACAGCAGGCCTGAGGGAGATGGGCCACGTTTCTCCCTCACCCAGCACCACCAGGGCATGAAGACTCGAATCCCCGACTTCCCCACTGCTTACCGTCTCTCCCCTGGGACCTTTCTTCTCACTGTTGGGTAGTTATTATTATTCTACCAAAGAGATTTCTGTAATTATTATTACTGTCAAAATACGACTGGTGTTCAGGGGACACTCAGCTTGAAGAGCCTTTTAATTAGGGCCAGCAATGGCCTTACGAGGAAGCCTGACATCAGAGGAGAAAG